ATTAGGTCAGTGATGTAATTTGGGGCAGTATGGTGGACGGCTTTGTACGTCAGTGTTAGGATTTTGAATTTGATCCGTTGCGCAATCGGAAGCCAGTGGAGGGATTGGCAGAGGGGGGTGGCGGAGATGGAGCAGTTGGAAAGGTGAATGAGTCTGGCTGCTGTATTCAGGATCGACTGAAGCGGGGATAGCCAGCAGCGAGGCAGGCCAGTGAGGAGGGAGTTGCAGTAGTCGAGTTGTGATATGATGAGGGAGTGGATAAGCTGTTTAGTGGTTTCTGGGGGTTAGGAACGTGCAGATTTTGGGGATATTGCGGAGGTGGAGTCTATATAAATCCTGTATAATAATAATAATAATAATAGTAAATGGCCAAATGTCAAAGATGTTACGTTGACTTGGCCAGCCATGACTATGAGCAGTGGCCGTGTTCATTGTGTCTATCTGCGCTGGTAATCATGGAGAGTTCAATGAGGCTCAGCACACCCATCAATAAGGTTTTCATACAATATTACCGAGCGTGACTTGTGTGTCGGGATCTTTTAATCCCTTTTGCCAGATATGTAAAATCTGGCAAATGTACGTAGGTAAGTGGCATACAATTGAAGCATCTTTAGTGTGATCATAAAAGAGGTTAATAAATGAACAAAATACCTCCTAGGTAAGAAAAAAAAATAGACAAAATAATCAACATCTACATCTGTATGGCCAATTGGACCATGTGTATAAAAAACAAAAAGCTTACATCCATCTCCGAAAAGCCGGACATGTTTCAGGCTCCCAAAATCATTATTATTGGCACTGTATTGGCTGTTTACCTTTCCTCTCTTGTTCAGCAACTAAAATGATATTGGGCAGGACTTGGTGGTCGTATATAGGATGAGGTTATCAGCAGGCTACCCATGTGTGCTTATAGCGTATGTGTAGACACATTCAGACTTGTTCTGGAAGTTCTATAGAATGTACACATTTTATGTGTTTTTTTTTTTTTTTTTTTTTTTTTTGCTTTGCTTTTTACAATTTCAATAGACTCCATACATTTGTACTTTTTATTTTATTAACAAAAACAAAAAAAAATACTATTAAGACTTTTTAATACAGCAAGATGACTATGTTAGCATGCTTACCTTGCAGTGTTGAGTTGGCTTAAGTTCACCTTCAAAACCCTATTTTTACTATATGTTCTTCACGTGTGTGTGTGTGTTCGTGTTAAAAAAATATGTAAACCCTACATTTTATGTTCCTGATATGTGCCCACCATACCATGTACCTGTATAAAAAAGTCTCCTGTTTTCTTTGTATTGCTTCCTTTGTGTGAAATCCCTGGTGTTCCTGCCAGTCATTCTGCTTTTTCTTATCAAAAGCTGACTATACTAGGCATGAGAGTACAGTGTGGTCAATTTTCTGTCTGTGCTGAGAACTCAGCCTGCTGTCTTCCAATGATCAGACTTGTCCTGAGACATTCCCCCCCCCCCCATGTTGCACAGCTATTCACTGGGAAGACCAGTGTACTGCTATTTCGCCCTTCCCAGCAATCTGAGCCCCTTATGCAGCTGTATACAGAGTGTGTGTGATCAAAGGGGGGAAAAAGGGTATTTCTAATGGTTTTTTTTAATGTCTATACACAAATATTTTACTTTTCATTTCTATTTTAAGCTGAATGGGTTGTTTTACACTGTGAGGGTTAACATCCTTCAAGGCCCCTTTCATACTGATGGACTGATTGGGTGAGTACTGTCTATGATCCTTCTCTTTTTTTTTTTTTTGCACTAATGTCCAAATTTTCCGGACAAGTTTTTGGGGTGTACCCCCTTCTTCAAGGTCCAACCAGTAACCGCAAGAATAATTAAATTTGATCCAAGTGTAATTACCATTGCTGTTTTTGCTTGGACCTTGAAGAAGGGGGTACACCCCAAAAACTTGTCCTGAAAATGTGGATGTTAGAACAAATAATGATCACGGACAGTACAAAATTGCTTCTGTTGCAGGTGCGCTAATACGGCTACAATCTCCTCCATTACAATCCTAAACCATACAGAAACCTTCTCTTTGGACAACACCAGCCCTAGATTCTCTGTGACTTTGGTAAGGATGACGTAAATGTATATGTTCTGTAAAAGCTGCAGAAACCTTTTTTTTTTTTCTTCCTCTTTTAAAATACGTACAATGTATCGTGAGATAAAATAATCAGTCACGCTCTCCTGTTTTGCACACGGGCATTGCCTCTTTAAGAATGGCCTTCAGGAATGCAGTGGCCCTGACGTGGGGTGATTTATCTACAGGATATGGTGAGGGCTCCTAAAGCAGTGACGCAGGTGGAGGCAGAGTTCGGAGAGATTAGGACAATTTCATCGCATAGGCGGCACGAACACATGAGGCTGGGAAGAGGGGCGTGCAGGCTGTGAGAGTGTCTAAAATAGAAAAGAAAAATCCTCTACAAAGTCATTCCTCCATGTATGGTTCATCCCTCCACCATGTATGGTTCATCCCTCCACCATGTATTTTTCATGCCTCCACCATGTATGGTTCATGCCTCCACCATGTATGGTTCATGCCTCCACCATGTATGGTTCATCCCTCCACCATGTACGGTTCATTCTTCCACCATGTATGGTTCATTCTTCCACCATGTATGGTTCATCCCTCCACCATGTATGTTCATCCCTCCACCATGTATGGTTCATTCTTCCACCATGTATGGTTCATCCCTCCACCATGTATGGTTCATCTCTCCACCATGTATGGTTCATCCCTCCACCATGTATGGTTCATTCTTCCTCCATGTATGGTTCATCCCTCCACCATGTATGGTTCATCCCTCCACCATGTATGGTTCATCCCTCCACCATGTATGGTTCATCCCTCCACCTTGTATGGTTCATGCCTCCACCATGTATGGTTCATGCCTCCACCATGTATGGTTCATCCCTCAGCCATGTATGGTTCATCCCTCAACCATGTATGGTTCATCCCTCCACCATGTATGGTTCATTCTTCCACCATGTATGGTTCATCCCTCCACCATGTATGGTTCATCCCTCCACCATGTATGGTTCATTCTTCCACCACCATGTATGGTTCATCCCTCCACCATGTATGGTTCATCCCTCCACCATGTATGGTTCATCCCTCCACCATGTATGGTTCATCCCTCCACCATGTATGGTTCATCCCTCCACCATGTATGGTTCATCCCTCCACCATGTATGGTTCATCCTCCACCATGTATGGTTCATCCCTCCACCATGTATGGTTCATCCCTCCACCATGTATGGTTCATCCCTCCACCATGTATGGTTCATTCCTCCACCATGTATGGTTCATCCTTCCACCATGTATGGTTCATCCCTCCACCATGTATGTTCATTCCTCCACCATGTATGGTTCATTCTTCTATGGTTCATCCCTCCACCATGTATGGTTCATCCCTCCACCATGTATGGTTCATCCCTCCACCATGTATGGTTCATCCCTCCACCTTGTATGGTTCATGCCTCCACCATGTATGGTTCATGCCTCCACCATGTATGGTTCATCCCTCAACCATGTATGGTTCATCCCTCCACCATGTATGTTCATTCCTCCACCATGTATGGTTCATCCCTCCACCATGTATGGTTCATCCCTCCACCATGTATGGTTCATCCCTCCACCATGTATGGTTCATTCTTCCACCATGTATGGTTCATCCCTCCACCATGTATGGTTCATCCCTCCACCATGTATGGTTCATCCCTCCACCATGTATGGTTCATCCCTCCACCATGTATGTTCATTCCTCCACCATGTATGGTTCATTCTTCCACCATGTATGGTTCATCCCTCCACCATGTATGGTTCATCCCTCCACCATGTATGGTTCATCCCTCCACCATGTATGGTTCATTCCTCCACCATGTATGTTCGTTCCAGCCATACGCGTTTCTTTGCAGCTTGACTTTTCTTTGGTTTGGTTGTCCAGTATTCCATACGGCGTACCCCACCCCAGCACTTGAACTAATAAATGGAAGGATTACGTTAGAGACACAAGGTTCTTGATCATCCGAGTCCATTGACCATTTTATAGAGTCAAAAGGTTCCAGCACACAATTTGATTGGATAAAATAGAAAATATTCCAACCGTCACAGGATGTTCTCTTCCTTTCTTTGGTTGTATTTAATTGCATGTATGTATGTATGAATGCATTTATAGGATTTTTCTGCAGTTCTACCTAGGCCTCATTCAAGCAGGCCACGGTAAGAAAACAGGCCTTTGCGTTACGTTAAAAATTCCATATTTTTACCTTAAAGTGGTTCTAAAGGATCAAGGTTTTTTACCTTCATGCATCGCTCAGCGATGTGCGAACTTGGCGCTATATTTCACATTTCAGTGTTTTTGGTTTGATTATATTATTGAATTAAATTTATTATTATTATATTATTATTTTTTATGATTATTTATTAAATTATAATTTATGATTTCGTGTTTCATGTTTTATCCTACCCGGGATGTTTACTAGACTCTTGTTCGGACAGATTTCAGTGAGTTATTCCTAAAAATTACAGGTCTACAATAAATAAAAAACATATTTCTATTCAAAAAAATGTACCGCTTTGAGCACAAAAATATGGACATAATCAGACCGCTAGGGAGGTTAATATTCAAAGCAAGCTCACCCATGTATCCATCCGTATGTCTGCTTTATTTTGCTGAGAAATTACATTGAAAAACACCCCCTAGCATTTCTGGTCATAGCTATCCTGAGTAGGGGCAAATAATTCATGTAGCATTTACTTCCTGGAATCCTTCTGTCCTTACCTCAGGCATGCAGGCAGGATGGTGTGCTTAGCTGAGAAAACCCCCTGAAGACTCCTGAGATGTATGATATAATTTGCCTAGTCCAGAAACCAGGAAGTAACTGAAGAAACGTATACAGAAATTAAAACAAGTAAATATGATATACTTTCCTGTTTATTTACTAATGTTAGCAGCATAAGGATTAAACGTAGTGAAGTGAAGTTCTGCTTTAAAACTTCCTGTTACTAAACCCAGGACCCTGCATGCACTATATCCGCTCTCTCTCCCAGGACCCTGCATTCACTATATCCGCTCTCCCAGGACCCTACATTCACTATATCCGCTCTCCCCCCAGGACCCTACATTCACTATATCCGCTCTCCCAGGACCCTACATTCACTATATCTGGTCTCCCAGGACCCTGCATTCACTATATCCGCTCTCCCCAGGACCCTGCATTCACTATATCTGCTCTCCCAGGACCCTGCATTCACTATATCCGCTCTCCCAGGACCCTGCATTCCCTATATCTGGTCTCCCAGGACCCCGCATTCACTATATCTGGTCTCCCAGGACCCTGCATTCACTATATCTGGTCTCCCTGGACCCTGCATTCACTATATCTGGTCTCCCTGGACCCTGCATTCACTATATCTGGTCTCCCACAGTACACAGAACATGGAAATGCAATTATTTTAGTAAATATAAACTGCTAAATACCTTTTCTCATTAGCAGTTGGAGCAGTCTTGTGACTTCTATCAGTGTCCAGTAGAGCACATGTTAAAGCTTGTAGGAGGAATTTTCTTTCTACTCTAGGAAGATGCAGGACCCCTGACTTCTGTCTGGACAGCACTGATTGGCCCTGTGCTGATCACATGCACTCTCCCAAAAAAAAAAAAAACCTCTAGCAATGCACACCAAACTGAGCATGTGCAGTGTCTCCACACGAAATGTCTTATCAGGAGATAGGAGGAGGACACTGGAATAAGGGGAGGATCGTAGAAGATACGATCAAACCACGATTTTACACAATGCAGAGGATTAACTTCTTAGGTTCCAAAGTTTAACCTCAATATTTTTATGATTTCTGGGTTCCCCTATCCGCCTACAATTACAGCATTGCTGTCGGCCATGTTTGCTGGACCTTGTGGTACATCCATACTGGTCTTTGAACTCATCATAGCTGTGCTGTCTATATTGGGGTTGATTTACTAAACCTGCAGAGTGCAATATCTGGTGCAGCTGTGCATGGCAGCCAAACAGCTTCTATCGTCGGCTTGTTCAGTTAAGCGTTGACAATAAAACCTGGCCGCTGATTGGCTACCATGCAGAACTGCACCAGATTTTGCACGCTCCAGGTTTAGTAAATCAACCCCATTGTTTTTTTTATGTTCATGACATAGTTATTTGCATCTAAAAGCAAATCCTGCGGTAACCTTTGGCCCAGTACATAGATTCACCCCCAATCCTGAAAATGTACTTGTGTATTGCCCATGCATGGGTAACAAGTTTATATTAACCTCTTCGCACCGGCGCCTCCCGGCCCTTTAAGAGGTTTCAGATGCCGGGAGGCGGAGCGCGGTTTTAGGGTCATGTGATCAGGAATAGTGCCCCATTGTTGGTGTCAGTGGGAGGAATGGCGCCCCATTGTTGGTGTCAGTGGGAGGAATGGCGCCCCATTGTTGGTGTCAGTGGGAGGAATGGCGCCCCATTGTTGGTGTCAGTGGGAGGAATAGCGCCCCATTGTTGGTGTCAGTGGGAGGAATGGCGCCCCATTGTTGGTATCAGTGGGAGGAATGGCGCCCCATTGTTGGTGTCAGTGGGAGGAATGGTGCCCCAGCATTGATACTACTACTTAGAAGAATAGTGCTCCATCATTAGTGTCACTGGCAGGAATTCTGCCATACTGCTGGTGTCAGTGGGAGAACTAGTGCCCCAAGGGCCAGACAAACGCTAGGAAAGAGCCGCATCTGACCCTTCGGGCCACAGTTTGGAGACCACTGGCCTAGCAATCCCAGTGGAAGTGGGTACAGGTACCTGCCAATTTTGGGTGCCCGCTCTCCAAAGCTGCCAATCCTTAATGGGGTGTGGGGGGAGCAGTCTTTAATGTGGAACTTCCCCTTTTGGGTGGAGCTCCGCTTCAGCAATCGCGATATCATGTCATAACATTTCTTCAGCACAGTAAGTAACCCCACCGTAGGATAACTCTCTACAGTCAATGGTGTTTGTTTTGTCTTCTAGGCAATGGTGGCTTGTTACCCAGGCAATGGGATGGGATACGTACGGCACGTGGACAACCCAAACAGAGATGGACGCTGCTTAACTTGCATATACTACCTAAATCAAAAACTGGGACACAAAGGTAAGGCTTAAAGCCGTAGTAAACTGGCACAAAAATAAAAGAAAAAATCGGGCTCCCTGCAGGCTAAATCATAATGTAATAGTATACACCATATGACAGACTTACATGCACATGGAACCCTCCAGTGCAGCACTGTCCCGGCTCCCTTACGCTTCTATTTCCATTCGGTATTCCTTCTGGATACGTGGGCTCCAGCTGTATGAATGGTCAGGGACGCGATGACGTCACCAGCACAGCGCTCTGCATTTCCCGACACACTGTATGTCCTGAATTCAGAGCGTCACTGTGCATGCGTGGGTGACACCATCAGCTATTGCCCATGTGAATATCTCCTAAACGGTATACACATAGGAGACATTTATTGTACCTACAGGTAAGCCTGATGGTAAGCTCACTTGTAGGTACAAGGTAAAAAATTGTGTTTACAACCACCTAATAAATCATGTATACTAATAACGATTACACCGTGTTATCAGGGATATGCTCAGCCATGTTGGGATTCTAGTCCCACCCCACCTGAGCTATCCCACCTGAAAGCTCTTGAAAACTGGCAGTCATAAGCAGCCCTCCCGACAGCCGCGCATATACAGTTGTGGCCAAAATTATTCAACCCCAATGCTGTAAAGGGGTTTAGGGACTATAGTGTACATTTGGAATTGTATTCAGAATCAAATCCTACAAGGACGTTGTAACTACCCAAATGCAACTAAAATGACATCAATTGTTTATGTAATACAGTAGTAAATGGTTCTTATGTGGTTTCTTCATTGCCACAATTATTCAACCCCCTTAAAGACTACCACTCTGAAGAACAGAGGTTCATACAGGTGCTTTCCATCAGGTATTGAAAACACCTGTGGATGTCACCGAGCAGCAATCAAGCATAATAAGCACCAATTAGGCAGCTTTAAAATGACTGTGATACTCAGCTCCTTCTAGACATTTACTGGTGTGGTTACAAACATGGTGAAGGCAAGAGAATGGTCCAGGAAGACAAGAGAAGAGGTGATTTCTCTTCACAGGAAGGGCAATGGCTATAAGAAGATTGCAAAGATGTTAAACATACCAAGAGACACCTTAGGAAGCATCATTCGCAAATTCAAGGCAAAGGGCACTGTTGAAACGCTACCTGGTCGTGCAGAAAGAAGATGCTGACTTCGACTGCTGTGCGCTACCTGAAGCGTAGAGTGGAGAGAAGTCCCCGTGTGACTGCTGAGGAACTGAGAAAAGATTTGTCAGATGTGGGTACAGAAGTTTCAGCCCAGACAATAAGACGCACACTGCGTAATGAAGGCCTCCGTGCCAGAACTCCCAGGCGTACCCCCTTGCTGTCTCCAAAGAATAAGAAGAGTCGACTGCAGTATGCCAAAAGCCATGTGGACAAACCACAAAAGTTGTGGGATAGTGTTCTGTGGACTGATGAAACAAAATTAGAACTGTTTGGGCCCATGGATCAACGCTATGTTTGGAGGAGGAAGAACAAGCCTATGATGAAAAGAACACCTTGCCTACTGTGAAGCATGGTGGAGGGTCAATCATGCTTTGGGGCTGTTTTGCTTCTGCAGGTACAGGGAAGCTTCAGCGTGTGCAAGGTACCATGAATTCTCTTCAGTACCAGGAGATATTGGATGGAAACGTGATGCAGTCCGTCACACACCTGAGGCTTGGGAGACGTTGGACCTTCAACAGGACAATGATCCCAAGCATACCTCCAAGTCCACTAGAGCATGGTTGCAGAGGAAAGGCTGGAACATTTTGGAGTGGCCATCGCAGTCACCAGACTTAAATCCGATTGAGAACCTCTGGTGGGACTTAAAGAAAGCAGTTGCAGTGCGCAAGCCTAAGAATGTGACTGAACTGGAGGCCTTTGCCCATGAAGAATGGGCGAAGATACCCGTAGATCGCTGCAAGACACTTGTGTCAAGCTATGCTTCACGTTTAAAAGCTGTTATAACTGTAAAAGGATGCTGTACTAAGTACTAAGATTGAATGTCACTTGGGGGTTGAATAAAACTGATAATGCTGTGAGCACAGAAAAGACATTTGTGGTTATTTCATTATAACTGTTATGTTATATTTGTCTGACCTACAAGTGCCTCTTTAATGTAAATGTAAGCAAGATGACTGAATGATCAAAAGCAATGTCAAACTGGCCAAAACACTCAATTTCAGTGGGGGTTGAATAATTTTGGCCACAACTGTACATGCCCCTTGTACGCGTGTGACTGCGGAGCGAGGAATACCTTGGCCACTTATGATTGGGGGTTTGCAGTGACACCTTCCTGCCGGGATAGCTCAGGCAGGCTCGGACTAGTATCCAAACACAGAAAAAAATGTAGTGCATCCTATTGAAGAAAAATTCTTCTTGGACTGTTCCTTCATAAAACACACAGTGAAAGTATCCAAACACAGAAAAAAACGGCAGTTGGCTAGTGCATTACCACCTACAAAGTGGTTAATTAAGTCCCATGCGGAGTATTATTCACTACAAAAAATTCAATGCAATGTTGTATTTATTACATCACATAGAAAGATTGACATTGTGAACATGTTGCAATCATAGTAAAATCAAAAAA